GAATGCTGGGAAGTTCTGATTTTTCAGCTATTGTTTATTGTTTCAATACACCCGAATCTCCTGTTGAAGAAAAGCTGGCTAAAAGCAAGCAGGTGGATATTCGCAAATTCAACATCATATACAGGTTGTTTACGTTATGGTCGTGCCTCTTTTAATTGGAAATTTCAGGCTGGTCGAAGACTGGAAGAGCGAGCTGAACAATCAGCTTCCCCTGGTTACCAAGGAAAGAATAGTTGGTACGAGTTACGCTTTAGTTTATTAATGGAGAGCAACAGGATGTCGTTCGGTTTCACACGCCAGAAATGCTGATTGAAATTCAAGCCCTACATATATTTCGTAAATGTACCAGTGTCCTTGAGCAAGAAATTTTCCCCATCTTGCTGCGCTGCACTGCAATCAACAGACGAATGAATTGCAAGTTGATGATCGGCAACTCTCATTAAGGAGTACGAATGTTCAGTTATAGCCATGTGAATGCTTGCCGAGCTTATAGCCATGACGAACTTGCTGTTTTAGTCATCATCAGTTAAGGTCTGCAATGCTTTGAGTATGATAACTCAAATCTGAGATGTTTTGCCGTTACATATGATGAGACCAGTATTAGGCAACGTTCATTGCAGCGGTAAAAGTAATATTCATCAAGGTTGGTCATTAGGCCTGTCTTTATGAGCCGTTTCGAGGGTTTTTATTGTCCTACAACGTGTCTACTGCTGAGAATTGTCTGGCATAGCATGTCAAGTATGCTTTACTGCGTCAGGCAGTAGCACCTGATGTAGAGACGTGCTGAAAAACAGTTTTCTGAGAGGTTTGATCATATCTCAAAATGCAGTCAAGTTTCACCAAGTCATCTCTGCTAATAGCGCACTCCAGCGAAGAGTAGTTTATCAGATTAAAACGTGATTTCAGGAAGCTTGCAGCGTAAAGCGTCTATGTGTTTGTACATAATATATGTGCAGCATATGAAATACCAAGCTTGCAGCAAACGAGAGAACGGGGCAAATTTTAAACACCCGAGAAAAGAGAATTACAGAGAAAACTGAAGGTGACTACAAGGCTATCTAGCTTCTTGTGGAGCTGCTAACCAATCGGTTTTATAAAAGCATGGAATATTTGATACTTCATACTATCTAGTTTGTTGAATTGGCCGACTGTGCAGTGCCAGAATAAATCGCATTTATTTCTGATGTGCACCTTGTTTTGTCGCTTTTTTGCAAAAGTATTTAAGCTCTATTTTAGGAGAAGGAGTAGTTCTGAAGGAGTTCCTGATCACAGAAAAAGGTAAAAAGCTGCCTGTCGCTGGATGCAGAGTCACCAAAGGAACGTTAAAGAAGAAGTGTTTCATAAAGTTTCTGAGGAATGGCGAGGTGTTCTATAACGGTAATAGTGTTCTGTTGAATTTTACTGATTTTCATGAATCATTATATGTAGGAGTTGTCACCTCTATGAAGAGAGAAAAAGAAGTGGTCGGTTCTGGAAATGTAAACGAAGAAGTTGGTTTGATGGTGGCTGATTCGGATATTCGTTTTCTACCTGACGATATAGTGCAATGTTATGAAACGTACGATGAGCCTCAAGAGATCGATTGGTTTCCGCCTGGATTTTGATTTTATATATTAGTTGATTGTGTTGCTTTATCTGTGTGTAACTAAAGTATCGATAACATATTACCAAACAAAAATTAATACAATAGGTTTAAAATATGAATGGAAAGTTAATAATCGTAAAATGATAAAATCTACCATATTCTACTGTATTCTGCTTTATACAGCGTTAACCACCGTTACTTTGTTTATAGTAGCCTAACGGACTATTTAAGTAGGCTACGATTAAGTGCTATTTTAGTACAAAAGAAAATACCTCAGGAAACGGTGCTCTGCGTTGTGTAAATTCGGAGAAGTGATGAGAAAATGTTATTCCTACTGGTAACATTAAAAGGCTTCAGGCATATAGGTTTATAATCACCCCTGCATGTATTTTGATGCCAGTTGAAGTTAGTGATCCAACGGAACCCCGTTTTTACTTCTTGACGCTTATGTCGTATCTCTACGGTGACAGATGGCCGGTCTATCGTTGTTTGGAATCGGAATGTCCATCGTTTGTTTGAAGGCGGAAAAAGTGCAATCTAATCCAGAGCATTATCCAATTGGTGTGATCGAAATGTTATTGTGAAGGGACGCTTCACCCTGCGTAGTAGTCATTTTCATTTGATGGTCTTGCTGTGTAACAAAATAGCAGTATGCTATCGTCTGCGATGATATTCACTTTGCTTTACCATAACTTTAATCACCTTACGCTGTCGAGATTCGAGGTCAAGCCGTGACTGCTTGCCACTGAGGTAGTTCTAGCTGATCAGTCTAGAGAGTGAATCACATTTTTCGTCGTCTCGCTTGCGTTATGCAGTGATTCTGCTTCATCGGATTTCTGCCCTGGTGAAGATTTTATCTTTCTGTCATTACCAAAGGTTTGCGTGTCTTATCGCTGATGCGGCCAATAGCCTTCGTAGTGGCGTCCACGATGCCTTCTTTAAGATGTATATGCAGTAGTTCCGGCTCCTAGGAAGTCCCAACATCGTTCATAGCAGCGAATCTGCTGTTGATGTCTAGTACGCGCTGTGCGATTAACGGATTCCACAATTCTGTATCAAAGTTGGCATAAATTAAAATGAATTACCCATGAAAATACATAGATAGTCAAATTGTATTGTATCATACGCGATTGTACAAACTGTATTAAATGCAATATAATCGTTCTAAACAAATTTAATACAATCGCTTAGTTATGAATACCTCCATAATGAATAAATGTCCGTCTATATTGATATAGCAATTGAATCGTAAAATGTACATAAAATAGACGAATAACTGTCACGGAAATGAAACATTGCCATATATACTGAATGGCGTCTTTTCCAGTTGCTCAGTTTCACAAAATACGCAACACGTGCGCCATTAGAAGCGTGGTAAATGAATAAAAGTAATGTATGTATCATGTGACAGGAGATTACATTATCGACAGAGTGGAATCGTGTCTTTAGTATTGTCCTAATTACGTCATAGTACTAAATCTCGTACTGTAGAAAACCTATTTCATGTTATATAAGCAATGATTCCATTTTGAATAGCTGTTCGTCTATATTAAAGGGTTTAGCATGTCCATGCAGATAAGATATGCGAAAATTCTCATCGTCAAAGGAAACATTGACATTATTATTATGGAAAAAGATTTTCGGGCTATTCAGGTCGCCAATATCGATTAGCCATGAGCCATCCAGACAGCTAATAACTGCGAAGAACATCAACTGCAGTAGCAATGCACCTGTACTATCATCCAGTTAACGTTTAAATCATTGCTATCCTGTTATGCTACTGGTGAAGAGTATAGCTCAATTTGAGAAGGATAAACTACGTTACTCAGCGTATTAAGAGACCAAGAATAAAATGCCAATAAGTACAGGACAACAACACAAAAGCAAGCAAACAAATAAATGGTTCAACGATCCACAGTACAGGGCACAAAAGACAGCAAAAGTCTTTACAGCGACCGTAGCATTATCAAGGCTGGCCTAGGTACGAATCACTGCTCCAAAGCAGTAAAACAAAAACGATACTTTTTTTCCAACTTCCAATACTTTACAACACAATGTTGTAATACCACTTAACTAGAATGTTACACAACAAACCAAATGTAAATATCATATTAATCATCCCTTGTTGTGGCCATATTCTAACGGTAGTTTCAGTGGCGGTTATTTTCGCGGGTCGATAGTCGACAGAGCACCCTCTGAACACTGGAGGTAAAATTTCTAACGCAAGTGGTACTATGTACTACTTCTAAGTGTGCAATATAAGAAGCGCTTGTATCCGGCTGCTAGAAGATTCAAAAAAAAGTACAAACCTTTCTAATTTTTACAAATCGCATGCAAATCTTAATAAACCAAGTTTTGAAAATGGATGGTCTCATAGACTAATTATGCTCCTTTCATTGTTAGCTGCAACGAAACGAAACTTTAAAAATCACAAGTGTATTAAAGTGATTTGCAAACGGACTGAAAAGGTGGGTGGCATTAGACGGTGGTGATAAACATGGGAACAAGTCGTATTTCTTCGCTGGGAAAAGATGTTCTTTATATGCTAGGTTTTCAGATCACTACGTACAGTCCATCCGACACTAATAAACGGAATCATTTGCGCATAATCATAAATCCTAATATCGTAATCGTAATGTCTTTAATATTTTAGACTGCACCTATTTCAATTATTCGTGGTATTTTGGGTAGCCGAAGTTATGGCATTTTTCTAGATAGTTCCCTCTGGGAAAATTCAAACTCAAAACAGTGTTCTATTGCACTCGTAGCATCCTGCAGACATTCCATAAAACTTTTGGAAAAATTCCAACCTAATCTTCTGCAAAAAAAAATAAACGCAGAATTGAAACGAGTCATTGAAAACCTTTATGAGAGGACTGATTAAAATCTGCTTTCCCATTAATGCAGTATCTAATCGCATTGTTTGCCCGGATGAAGGATATTTTATTTCGAATGACACTTTCGTAGTTATAACAGACTATCGCTGCTTTGCTTCGCTAAAACTACAACCATTACCTTAAATGACTAATAATTTAAGAACGTGAGTGGGGATTGAAATGAGCATCACAAATCACAAGTCTACATTGATTGAAAAGTATGTGACGTATCTGCTATATTGGACCAATTATCAGATGATGCTCCTTTGATCCAACTTATGGCTGTCATGCTTTACAGAGTGACAGCTAATGTCAAAAAAATGTTTTTTATTGAGTACCTGGCATTTATTAACTTGATCACTTACCGTTAATAGGCATTTTGACGTTATTATGTGCATCTACCACGATGAACCTGGTTTTCAGCTATGAATCATTGGGTTCCAAACCCATTTGGTCCATCACTTTCCTCCGTTTATCATTTTCTATGGAGCATGCAGCTGCATCCATCCGTTAATGCCTTGACCCGATGCCTTGAACTATTAACATAATACAAGTATTTATTTTATTATCAAAACACTTTTATTTCACTCAATCTGTAACATTTAACTTGTGTGTATGAACATCAATTTTCCTCAAACTCTTTACCAAGGATTAAGCAGTGCAGTGTTCTTTTAAAATCCTGATTGTTTTCCTAAAAGGTTGCCTCTTGTAGTTCATCCACGTTGATCATTTCATAAGTTGATCTTAGCAGGCACGGATGATCTTTTTTCACTGCTCCAAGTGCCCCGATTGCCACGGTGGTTTCTTCCGCCTTTGCTCTCCCGATCTTTTATATTTCTATCGTCAATTATTGATATGTCAATATAACTAATGAACAATTATAGTCAAGGAAATGACATGCCAATCTGTACTGCAACAACAGCTGAGAAGCGTTTGTAGACAACGTTAAATGCCGAGGATCCTGTAATAATAGCGCTCTCACTGATACCCCTGCCCCTCTTCAGCCTAAATGATTAAACAAGCACGTCTGTATAATTGTCTTTCGTGTCAAGAGTGAAACGATTCGGAGTGAAAGCAGATTGTAATGAATCGCTGCTTTTTCTCCGATATTTCAGACAATAGACGGATTAAATATTCGCCCATCGTATATGTGAGACGGGACAAGAATGATACGGTAATCTCCACATTAAGTCCCCCGAATACTTTGCA